GTAGATTTCTCAAAAATTTAAACGTAAAACTGCCATGTGACCCAGCTTTCTCTGTCCTGGGCATACACCCAGAGAAATCCATATTCTACCATAAAAATATTTATATAGATGCCCATGTTTATTACTGCTTTATTTACTGTAGCAAAAAAATTGGAATCAACCTAGTTTTCAGTCAACACAAGAATGGATAATGAAAGGTTGGTGTATATAAAAAATGGAATACTACTTACCTCTAAAGAAAAAGGAATTAAAAAATTTGCAGGATAATGGATGGACTTAGATATCTGCAGTTGTGAATTTTGGATATCAGCCTGTTTGAAGTATAGCTGGTAAAGATTGTCTCCCATTCTGTGTGCTGTCTGTGCTCTGCTGTTGTTTTCCTTGCTGTACAGTAACTTTATTTTCATGTAGTCACATTTTTGATATTAGGATCAGTTCTGTGCTCTTGGTTTCTATTTTAAAAGTTCTTGTCTACCCCAATATCTTGAAGTGTAGTCCCTGTGTTTTCTTCTGAAACTTCTAGTGTTTCGGGTTTTAAATACATGTCTTCGATTCGTTTAAATTGATTTTTTTTTTTTTTTTTTTTTTTTTTTTTTTTTCATGTTTAAGATTTTAAATAATTTTTTTTGATTTTTTTAAATTGATTTTTTTTTTTTTTTTTTTTTTTTTTTTTGTACAAGGTGAAAGATAGATAGAAATCTAATTGACTCTTCTCTGGCTAGAAATTCAATTTGCAGGCACTATTTTGTCAAATGGGCTATTTTTTTTTCATAGTATGTTTCTGCCTCCCTTGTCAAAAACTTAAGTGGAAAGGGTTTTGCCATGTTATTTCCTGTTTCTTTATTCAATTGTTCTTTCTATTTTTATACAAGTACCAAGCTATATTTATCTTTATAGCTCTATAATATAATTTGAGGTTGGTATTGCTCTACCTCCAACATTGTTCTTACCCCTTAGGATCACTTTGGTATCTGTGGTCTTTTGTAGTCCCATATGAATTCTTATGTTATTGTTTTCTAAACCTGTAAAATACGCCATGGGAATTTTTTTTATTATTTAATTTTATTTTTTTTCTTATCAGTTACATTTTATTAACTCTGTATCCCAGCCGTGTCCGCTCCCTCATTCCCTCCCAGTCCCTCCCTCCCTCCCTCAACTCCACCGTGCCCCTTTCCAAGTCCACTGATAGGGGGGAGGAATTTTGTATCTTTGCCATCAACTACATATTCCCTGTTGCCTGTTACCACTACAAAGCAGTCTTGGAAAATAGTAAGAACTGACACTAGACAGCCTCTTAACACATCCTCTTCAACTGCCCAGCATCAAAGTAGTAGCTTCCCTAAAACTGAATTTGACCCTCAGCTTTCTACAAAATGTTATATTCCCAAGAAGAAATTAAAAAAAAAAAAAGCAGAGAACTGAAACTCTTACATATTCATAACAGGCTCATGTTAATTCTCTTCTGGTACCCCAGATTCCTTAAAACCATTGGCTGCTAGCAGTTCTTCCTCAGGTACACACATGCACAAGCACATGAACACATGCATGTACATATACACACACAAATAGACAGCCTACTTTAAGGGAGAGAAGGGTCCAGAAGGGCTTTCATATGTGCTTACACATACACACACACACACTCACGTGTGGAACAAGGAACAGGGCTAAGACCTTTGTCTCCTTAAATTGGACTGAGCAAGATACACTTTGTGGTTTGGGTCACTTTAAATGACAGCAGGGACAGGATTGGATGAGACAAGGGTAGGAACTTCAGAAATTCCCACAGAGAAAAAAAAAAAGCCTAGCAGTGGAAATAAACCTCACAGAAGAGAGGTTTTTTTTGTTGTTGTTTTATTTTGTTTTGTTTTTTGACAAGATCCTGGAATCAGGCCATCTTGGACCAAACAAAGTAATCTGAGAATATCCTGATCTGATCCAGGACCCTGTTCCTCAGCTGGGGAATTAACTGTCCCATGTATTTAAGCTGGAAGATGAGGGACATATGTTCATTACCTCCTGGAACAGCTCTTGTTTTTAGTCTACTAGCACTCAAAAGTATCTCCCATAACAGCTTCTGCTTCCCACAGGAAGTTTTTTGAAAGCTTGAAAGAGAGCTGGGCATGGTAGCTCAGGCGTGTAATCTCAGGCTAATATAGAAGGCTATCATAGCTTCGAGGCAAGCTTGGGCTGTGGGAAGTTCTAGGAGAGTCAGGGATACAGAGTAAGTCCCTGTCTCAAAAACAAACAAACAAACAAACAAACAAACAAAAAAACTTTTGATGGGGCTGGAGAGATGGCTCAGTGGTTAAGAACACTACTCTCCAGAAGTCCTGACAGCAACCACATGACCATCTATAATGGGATCTGATACTCTCTTCTGTCATGCAGGCATGACATGCAAACAGAGAGCTCATATTTATAAATAAATAAATCTTTTTTTAAAAAGCTTTTGATGGTCTAATTATATGTCAAACTAGGACTAAAACTTAGTAAAAACAGTGTTGGAAGGGGACAATTATATAATCATAATATACTTACTAGTTTTAATTTCAAGGAATAAAAAAAAAAATTAAAATGTAGAGGTAAGAAGATAGCCACTGAAAAAATATCAGCAGCTGAGCCTTTGGTCAGGAAGGCACAAAATTCCTTAAAACCATCCATACTTCGGTAGTCCTTCAATTCCTGTATGTTAGGGGCCTGTTAAAACTGTGTCCGTGACTAGAAAAGGCATAAAAAACACATGGGAAGGAATTACAGACTGAGATTCATGGCTTGAGGATTGAAAGGAAGCTTGAAAGTCACACAGCATAAAACAAAGATGGAAGATCAGGTGACGCAGTGAGAATGTACTCTGCCTGCTTTGCCTGAGTTGCAGCAAGTCAACATAAAAAGGAAACATTGCCTTAGGGAGGCATCATCACCTTTGAGTCTGAAATCTGGAGACTGGCTTCTCTTGTCTTGTTTTCTCTTCTTGTATATGTTTTGGTTTTTGTTCTTTTAATTGAGGCAATATTTTACCATATAGCCCAGGTTGCCCTTGAACTCATGACCCTCCAAATTCAGATACGCAAGTATTAGGATCATGAATATGTACACATAGTTTCTTTCATACATTCTTATAGAAGGTAGGCATTTCTGTAAGATATGATGGTAGACATCTGTAATTTCAGCACTTGAGAGGAATGTCTAGCGAAAAAAAAAATTGTGCGTTTGAGGTCAGTCTTGGCTACATAGTAAGTTCCAGCCTAGCCTGGGCTACATAGTGCCACCCTGTGTCAAAAAAAAAAAAATAAATAAATAAAAATATTTCCTAGTATATTAGTTTTTCTCCTTTTCAGTTATCCTATTTGATATCCTCACCCCTTCCCAAGATTTTACCATTGCCTCTTTTGATGGCTGATCCTTACAACTCCCCAGACTCTAGATGTTTAGCTGCCTCACAAATACTCCTCAAATGGTTGTCCTAAAGCACCTCAAATTCAGTTAAACTTACACTAAAACATGATACAGCATGGATAGAACTTTAAACTATGATGCTGAGTGACAGAAGGGAAGGTAGTGCTTTAGGACAGCTGCTTGGATAGCAGCGTGTAGCAGGGACCTAGGGAATTAAGATGAGATACAGTAAGACCAGCAAGGTAGCATTTGCAGAGATCCTGTTCATTAAGAACAAGCCTTTAATCCCAGCACTAGGGAGGCAGAAGCAGGCGAATCTCTGAATTACAAGGCTGGCCTTGTCTAAAGAGTGAGTCCAAGACAACTTAGGACAATGCAGAGAACCCCTGTCCTGAAAAATAAAAACAACAACAACAAATCTGCACAAACCTAGTTCAGTGTTACACTTAAAATATTTTTTAAATCATTGCAAGAGTGGGTGATCAATAGGAGAGATGATAAATTGTATCAAGATGAAAGTAGTTCAAAACTTGCATGCTTCTATTTTCAGTTAAAATTTGTTTAGAATTATTATAATTTCACTTCAGACTTGTTGGTGACATTTTATTTGAAGATACAAATACATGATTTTATATTGTATAGTTAAAGAATAAAGTATAGTGCCTGCCACCTACTACTTTTAGATGAATGGTGAAAAAGTATATGTATGTGTTCATTAAGCAAGATAGAAGAAATAATAAGATTTTTCTACCAGCATTGTTTTTATTTGGAATTAAACATTTTCATTTTAATATAAATGCTAAAAATAAATACACTTTTGCATTTCTTTCAGTTTTAATGTAAGAGCCTAGTTAAAAGGTAAGGATATATTTGAATAAATTTTATTTTCAGTGTCTCTGAATTCCATGTCATTCTGCCATTTGTAGTTTTATTATTTGTGTAGTTTTCCATCAAGTTTGTAGTCAGTAATTTAGTGTTTTTGCATCAAACCACAATATAAATCCAAGGACTGTTACTTTAATTATAATTTACTTGTTCTTGTGAGCTTTTTTTTTCTCATTTTCATTGAATCCTTATGTCTTTGTGATGACCACCATCTAAAAGTGAGGAAGGTTTTCCAAAAGGTTTCTTTGCATTTAATCAGTCATTACAAGAATTCATGTGACAGGTTAATATACTAGTTTGCACTCATGGGCCTCTGTTGTGTCAGGCTGGGGACTGGAGATGCAAAGTTTGCATCTTGAGTTTAGGCCAGAGTGCTTTCTTTGCCTGAAATTCTCCCAAGGAGCACAATGCTGTTTTTCCTCATTTATTAATACCAGTGCCCTCTAGTGGTGGTGTTTTTTTTTTTTTGGTTTGTTTGTTTGTTTGTTTGTTTGTTTGTTTGTTTGTTTGTTTTGTCCTACTCATTTACTATTTTTGGCTGTTCTGATATATTCTATGTTTAGATGACATCTTCAGGGTTCAATATTACCTTTTTGGGGATTGTTAACACTGTACAGATTAAAGAATTTTGAGAACTGCAGTGTGGGCCGAACTCTAGCTCAGATGTTGTAAGTGACTCTTCTGTTGAAGCCCCTATTTCTCTTGTTTTCTTTTGATAGGAATACACAATATTGTCACAGAAAACCAACGTGGAAATGTTGCAGATGGAATCAACCCTACATGAGGATTTAACTGAGAACTTAACAGAGCATCTCATTTTGTCAGGAATTGGAATTTACACTAAGACACTAATGCTGTAACTTTCTTGATAAAATATCTTTATTTTTCAGTAGTGGAATGCTGCAACTTTTTTACACTTAACAATCACTGTTAATCACAGTATTCATTTTCAAAGTTGTATTTAACTACAAGATGTTTTGCAAAATCTCTCAGCAGAATCATTTGAGGGGCATCTTTCTCTGAGCATGGGTTCACTGGGAGAATTTAATCAGATTATATCTAAATGTTTATATGTTGAAAGCTTTGTTTATGTTATAAGAACAAGTATCAGGATTATATAGTGTCTGTACATGAAAGAACTTTAAACAGTGGCCTTACAGTAGCAAATTTTATACTGGCTTTTCTTTTTCTGATGACATTTTGGCTTTTAACTTGAAGTTTCTGAAGACCAGGGCCTATGTATGTCATCAGTTTCATAATACAACATAAGAAGCCTAGAGAAAAGGTGCATCTCCTCCATCGGGTCATGGCGAGTGCACTGAATCGTTAGTACTGCCTATCTTGGGTTTTCCCATAACGATTTGCTCTTTTCTAGTTTCAAATGCTATTGTGGAAAATGCGTAAGGATTTTGTAATCTTTATTCCATCTTCTTTTCCCTCAGGGCAAGCTTGTGCATATTCTATTTTTAAAGGCTGTTAAAAATCTGACAGACAAAATTGCATATTTGACCATTGTACTTTACTACTACAGTGTTACACATTTTGCAGACACAACTGACAGAAGGCGCATCTTTGGTTTAGTTGACAGGGGTTGCATCCTTACTATGTTTAAGGTAGGATCCACGGGATCCTATATACAGTCTGGAGGTTCAGAAGCTCACTTCTTTGTTTCCTTTCTTCTGGTTAAAAGTACATAGACATTCCCAGTCACGTTTTTGTGAAATGTTTATTTGTAAGAAAATAAAATATTGTTGCTCTTTCTGCTTGAAGTTATTACCTGGCGATTGGTGAGAACTGTAATTTTTTATGAGACTGACAACTCTGGGTGATACCTGTTGGATGTTGGGGAAACGCGTAATGTTATATATTTTCCCTATATTTTTTAAAATGTTTAGTTAAAAGATTTTTTTTTCATGCAAGGGCCACTCTTCCTTAAATGGGTCAGTGGTGAAGGAAGTCAGTGCTAATTGGATGATACATAGACTGTGCGTACAGATGATTTTGTACTGTGTGCTACCTCTGAAGTTCAGGTTTTCCAACCTTACCAAGCATGAGGCCTAGGGTAAGGGAGAAATTTATGTATGCAGTAGTACAGCAAGTTTGTGTTATCTGGGTACTTAAAAAAAAAAGACTATAATTTTTTTGAGTTGGGGGTCTCATGTAGCCCAGGCTGATACAAAACTCATTATATGGCAAAGAATGACCTTGATGACCTCAAGAATGTTGGGATTACAGGCATGTTGCCACCATTCATGGTTTTTACAAGATGTTTCATGCATGGTAGGCAGAAACTCCCGCCTGTTGAACTACGTCTCCAGTCCACCTAGCTTAATTTGATTATCTTATGTGGATAGGTGTTTTTGCCCACATGTGCATCACACGGTACCTACAGAGGCCAGAAGAGGATATAGTCCCTGGCACTGGAGTTACAGATGCTTGTGGGATGCCACTGGATGCGGGAAACTGAACTGACATCCTCTGGTAGAACAGCTAGAGTCAAGCTGTTTACTGAGCTTCATGAGACACATGGTCTCATCCTTTTACTTGTTCATTGCTACATGAAACACAGACACACAGAGCTGCCAATCAAATGATTAACTGCTATAGTTTCATGATTGTCTACTAGAATATAAGAACAGACTAAATCAGTTGTGTTAGAACTAGGGGCTGGACATATGACTCAGCCTTCAGGCTTCCAGGGAATTCTCCTGTCTCCACCTCCCGTCTTGCTGTAGGGATGTTGGGATTACAGACAGGCTACTTTGTATGGGTTTATGTAGTTTCTTGGTATCTGAACCCAGATCCTCATGCTTGTGTGGCAAGTGCTTTTATTCACTGAGCCATTGTCCCACCCCAGAAAAGTTTTGGCTGAGTCCTAAACCATTGCCTCCTTCCATTTCTTTCCAAGTGCTAGACTTATCACTGGTAGAAGGGTGATAATTAAGATCATCCCTGCTCTGAAGTATCTCAAGCCAGTGAAGGGAAAGATCCATAAATATAAAAAGTTTCCCAATACAGCACTAAATACTGTAACAGACACAAAAGGTTGGAGTCGTTGGCGTTCTTTGTTGAACAGTTCCTTCAAATTTCTTTCCTATTGACTAGACAAACCTCCCACGTTTCTGTTGGTAAGCTCTCTGGTTTTAAATTTTGATGTTAGTTAAAAATGAATAAAAGGAACCAATTTCCATCTGTATTTCTTTTGTTTTTCTTTTTGAGGGAGAGTCTCATTATGTAATCGAAGTGTGAAAATCAAAGGTATATGCCACTTGTGCCTGGCTTTTTCTGTTATTTTTTATGGCTACATATGAACTTATAATTATCTCAGCATAAATTTCTATTTAAAAACTACCCATCACCATATCACAGAGAAACTCATTTTAGAGTACACATTTTAATTTTTTTCTAATAAAAATATCATTTACATTAAAACATTTAAAATAGATGCATACCAACTTACCATGTTTTAGTTAATATCTTAGTGTCACAATTGCTATCATGAAATACCATAACCGAAAGCATTGGGGAGGAAAGGGTTTATTTCACTCACAGTTCCATGTAACAGTTCTTCAAAAGCAGTGAGGGCAGGAACTCAAACTGGAAGCAGGAAATAATGCAGAAGCTCTGGAGGAGTGCTGCCTACTGGCTTGCTTCCTGTAGCTTGCTCAGCCTGCTTTCTTATAGCACTCAGGACCACCAGCCCAGGGGTGGCACCACCCAAAATGGGCTGAGTCCTCCCCCATGAATCACCAATTAAGAGAATACCCTATAGCCTTGCCTACAAGCCTAATCTTATGGAGATATTTTCTCAATTGAGGCACCCTTTCTGATGACTATAGCTTGTGTCAACACAAAACTAGCCAGGACAGTTAGTAAACTCCATTTTTGTAGTTGTTTGTTGATGATGCCTATGCTCAAACCCAGGGACTCAAAACTGCTTTGGTGTCAAAAAAACAGGGGCTAACACCAAGATGTTGCAAGGTAAAAAAAATTATTTTGTGGGTGGTCCAAACTTGCAGTCTTCTACAGGTAGAAAAGAGAAGCAGCCAAGACTAAAAGCAGGGGAGCCTTTTGCAAATAGCAAGAGAGCAGACAATTACAAAATGTGAAATTTCCCGTTATTTTCATGATCATGGGTTATGGAACCTACCATAAAACATTTTATGGTCAGACAATTCTGAGAATATACCGTGAAACGGTTTATGACATGTAAATCACAAGATGATAGGAGAATGTTGCAGGGTATTGGATCCTATTGTGAACCCTGAGATTTTGAAAGGAAAACAAAAATAACACTTTCTTGTGGTGTAGCTCAGCCCTAGCACACACCTTTAATACAGGAGTTAAAGTTAACCACAGGTCAAGAGGCTGAGCAAGCAATCAGCTGACAGGGAGTAAACAGAAAGGGACTTTGAGGGTATTTAAGACCATGTGGAGAAGGAGACAACAGCTTTTCCCTTTTGGGTTGTCAGCTAAGTAGGAAGGTCTGCCTCTTTGGAGCTAGCAGATTTTCACCACAGCATCCAGCTTCTGAATCTTTATTGGTAAAATCAAACATTTTGGGATTTAGTTTGTTTTTTTTTTCCTTTTATTAACAAAGAACAAGTTGTAAAACAGCTAAGTTGACTTTTAGCTTGGGATAACAGAATAATATAGAAATAAGTTATAAAGTTGAATTAGGAAATGGGAGAAAAAAGTGGAGTCAGCTGGCTCTTAACATTGCTCTTCCTTGGCAAATGCTTTATCACTGCGGTAAAATGTCCAGCCCATGAAGGTGTTTTTAGGGAAAGGTGGGAATGCTTTGCAGTAGACGCAAGAAAAGTAAAGCCAAGTCAGTCTCTCTGCATTAGCTAGCAAGCATGGAATATCTAGCAGCCACCAGACAAGGGAGGGTGGAGAAGATGGGGTACAGCTAGGTATTACATGTTAAGATGCATGACTGCAAACTCTTCCACAAAGGGCTGACGGGATAAAGGGACTCTATGGAGGAGAGTGAAGCTGAACCCCTGTGTTGCCCTCAGGACTCCAGCATGAAGTGACATTTCCCGGTACTAGGCTTCCCAAAGTGCTAGAGAAGCCTGGGGGAGTGAGAGCCACAGAAAGTACACCTTTGTCTGGTCCAGGAAGCCTGATTGTAAGCATTCAGTGAGGGCCCAGAGGAAAGGGGATATCAGGTTCCCCAGTGTTCCAGTAAACCGTGATTGTATACTCTGAATCCAGGAAGATAGAATGAAGACGCCAAAATTGAATTGTAGTTTGAAGAATAGAAAGCAAATGTTAGAAAATCTGACAGCAACTATCAGGTTGACAAATTAGAACATTTGGAGGGAAATGGGTTGTATACCAAAACTGTCTTCAATGGTCTGCTGTCATTTCAAGTCATAATGTCCTAAGGCTGCAATTCAGAGGCCTTGAATATACAATCCTACACTTGGGTGGCATGGGTGAAACCCTGTGGTGGTTTGAAGAAGAACAGCTCCCATAGGATCATATATTCGAATGGTTAGTCAGCAGGGAATGGCACTGTTTGAGAAGACTTATGAAGCATGATATGGCCTTGTTAGAGGAAGCTTGTCCCTGGGGGTGGGATTTGAGGTTTCAAAGGCCCATGTCGGGCTGGAAAGATGGCTCACAGGTTAAGAGCACTGGCTGTTCTTCCCATGGCCCTGAGTTCAATTCCCAGCAACCACATGATGACTCATAACCATCTATAACAAGATCTGGTGCCCTTCTCTGGCATGCAGGCCCACAGGCAGGATACTGTATAAATAATAAATACATAACTTAAAAAAAAAAAAAGCCCATGTCAGGCTGAGTCCTGTTTCCCCCCACACACACACACACACCATGCACTTTCCCCCAATAGGAGGGAGATACAGCCCTCAGCTACTACTCCATCTCCATGTGTACCGCGATGCCCCCTGCCATGATAATAATGGACTAACCTCTAAAACTGTAAGCAAGTCCCCAATTAAATGCTTTCTTTTATTAGAGTTGCCTTGTTCGTGGTGTCTTCACATCAATTGAACAGTGACTAAAATGGGCCCTAATAATCAAGGTTACATTTTTCACAGCTTCTTGACTTTAGCACAGTGGTTCTCAGTGTGATCCCAGTGCCTGACTGCATTCAACATCATCAGCTCCTTCTATTCACTTCTGATTCTTTTACTGTTGCATTAAATTAAAATTAAAATGAGAAATACAGTGAGTTGTTGCTACTATTATTCCCGGGCATATATAGGAATGCATGGAGGTCTGGAAGCATACTTACTCACTTGGTTACTTAACTGGTGGGATTTGGAGGGACTGTGCTTCTCTTTTATCTGTCACATAACAAAAACCTAGAATTTTTATTAAAGTCATTCTCTTAAAGTGGTAGGGACATTTTGTCCTACCCATCATTGAATGTCAGTCACTGTAAACATGTAAACAAGCGTTACTTTCATTTGGATGTCTACTTCACTGTAACCAGTAGGGTTTCGTTCTCCTTCCACATTATAAGAAGTGGTCAACTTTTTTATGCATGATATTGACCTTTTTAGTATAAATTATTGACATGCAAAGTGTAATATAATTATATAAAAGTTAAATTCTTTTCACTTTTTTTTTTTTTAAAGGAAAGACAAGTTGATTGTGGTGGCCACACTGGGGCAGGCTCTAGTATAAGGACACCCTGGCTACACATTATTTTTAAAGACAAAACTTTTCCCTTTCCCTATTAATTAGTAACCATTAAAGGCTATAGACCCAAAATTGAGTTAGGGTTTTACATGT